TTTGTTGGAGGCGCGCACAGAACGCCCCCGGCCGCGGCCGGCCCCGATGCCGAGGAAGGCGCCGCGGCAGCCAGCACGCAGATGGACACAGCGGATGCTGCTGGGGAAGGCAGTCGCGGGGAGCAGACTGGTGGGGGATGTGCGCATGTTCGATAGCATCTTTTTTTGCTGAAGTGATGGCGTGCCAAAACTATTTTCAGTGGGTCTAATCCTCGCACCATACATGGCCTGACCAAGGAAGGTATGTGAAACCCTTGCGGGGGATATTCATTCACTTGCCTGTTACCTTTGCAGCCACTGCAGACCGGGATCTCTGCTGGGTGCTGGAGCCCAGCCTGCCACGGACGCTGGGAATGAATTCCCCCGGCTTTTTCCTCCCCGCGCCGTGGCACGGCACAGGGTCCCTTCCCTCCGCTTGGTAAATATGTTGCTCACAGGCTGCTGGAGCTTGGGGTGGGCAGAGAAGGCGGATTAAAGGGATAATGTAGCTACTGTCATGATTGCATTTAACGGAGAAATTAAAAACTCAAAACCCTCCGGTTTAGAAAATAAATCAGCTGGAAATCCTCTCAAACTAGGTCAGAATTAATCCTTATCTGAAGTAATCTTAAAGCAGTGGTAAAATGGCCATGATGTGACACACACTGAGAGCACTGAACCATCAAAACACCATGCAGTCAAATTACATTAGCTAGAAAGTACCTTCAAATCTTTTTTACATCTGTTCCTCCCTCCCCCCTGCAAAAACACAAGCAAAATGTCAGGCTGTCACGGGCCACAGACGAGCCAAGAGCCTGCGGAACTGCTGAGGCCATTGAAGCCAGCGGCAGTGGGAGCGGGCGCCGCGTTTCCCAAATAGCGGGGGGAGCCCCCGGCCACCCCCCTGCGCTGCCCGGCTCAAGACGCGGCCGCCCTGTTTGGTAGGAAAACACGGGCTGTTGAACTTGGGCCGCGCCACACGTGTTCCGCCTCAGCGTCCTTCGCTCCTCTTTATTGTTCCAATTTAAATACTTCATCAATAAGAGCAAGCTAACGGGGCGGCAGGTTGCTATTAGCGAGGAAATTTAAGACCTGAGACTATAGGAATTTAATACAGCAGAGAACAGGAGTGCTTATCTGCAGCATCTCTCAATAGCCCTAATAAATCCTTAGGCTGTCAATGTAAAGCTGCTCCCCTAGCTCAATACTAACTAGCAGTAAAAGAACCGCAACTATGAAAGAAATCACGGGGCCACACTGGCCCCAGCTCCCTTTGGAGCTTCTCCCTCCGATAAAACCGTTTGCCCACACAGCTAATTGGAATAGGAGGAACCAGGATGTGTGTATGTAAATTGGGAGTAGACAGCTTCAATTTGCAAGGCTATAATTACAGAGCACAATGGAAAGTACAAGAACGAAAGCAGGAGGAAAGCGCAGACCACAAATAAAAATGCAAGAGGCATTTGCAGCCGGTGTATTTGGCAGTTCACACCAGACCAACGACTCCAGCTGTTAAACTGGATGTTTAAAACACAGGGCTACAGGCAGCAACATACTTGCAGGACCAGGGGAGGGCATAACCTCCTTCTGGTAGAGTTAGTTTCACCTGCCACCAAGGGTTGATGCGTCTGCTCATAAGCTTTGCATGAAAAGATGTAATTATTTGAGTAAATGCAGTAACACTGTAACCCTAACTCAAAGCAGCAAAATGATGTTTTTTTCGTGATACAATTCTTAATAGATACTGACAGTGTTTCCATTATTTTAACAAGGCATCCTAGCACGTAACGTTTTGCTCAAAGGAGCAACTGCTACTCTTGTATTTCAAGTGCTTGATACCCACGATATATTTTGAAATGTTCTGAAGCTGAAATACAAAGAAACCAAGAGATACCAAGTTTCTGCTTTTGCTTTTTCAGGTAATATCTCTAAGCAGCCAGAAAATAGATGTGGGTCTTCCCTAGTCTGCTGCCTTTGCAAAGGGCAAAACTGAGCTCATGAATTTTCTAAGAAATGCCTTGAAAAATAAAATAGGGGAGAAATTACTCTTATTGAGATAAGTTCTAGGGTGAGGAACTGCACTAAAATCACAGGAAAACTGAAGTGCCCAATGTGAGCATGCAGCCTGGAGAAAGGTTTCCAGTTCTCACACTGGGGACACCTTCTCGGTGCATCAGGGCAAGGCAGCACCTGAGAGCCATCCCCATCTGGCACAGATATTCACGTACCTTGGGAGTCTCATTTCAGCTACTTCTGCATGCTCCCATATGAACCAAGTGCTATCTCCATTAAAAACTAAATATTAGTCGTGCAGTGCAAATTTGCTGAAGCCTTCGGATCTAGTAACAGAAGTTTTCAGAGTGGAATAAATCAAGGTGACAACAAAGTTGCTGCAAATTGCAGCTGCTGCCCTGCATTCAGCCCCATGCAGAGGAGGGAGCCTAATGCTCCCACTGCTCCCCCCGAGCTGCTACCAGACGCCATGTCCCTGAGATCTAGGTCGCCCTCCGAAGTGACAGTTCTGTTTCCTCACACAGAAATATTCCTCTCCAACAACTGAGGGCTTGTTTAAAATGCACTGCACGCTGCAGAGTAACCAGGAATGATTTATTTTGCAGGCCGGCTCCTGTGGCTGCCGTTCCCTGAGCGCACACAGGTAGGGGCAGGTGGCAACAGAAACCCTCCAAGTTTACAGCTTATTCCCTTTTTTTCCATCTGTATCATCTTGGATTTAAAGCAGCAGGAACAGAGCATTGGGCACTTCTGGTCAAGTCTCTGACCATGTGCTTTATGTGGCCAGGTCTAACATGCGCAGGGTGGAAAGCAATTTTTGAAAAACAGTTCAACCCCGGGTAAATGCCAGGGGCCCTGAAGGAGTTAAAAATACAGCTGCACCCCCTATATATAGAAGGCGGCAGCTCCGGGCGCGCTGCTGGGAAGGCCGCGCTCCTCCTAGCGGAGACTCGTCCCGGCGGCGCCGCGGAGCTGCCGCCCTCGCCCGCCCCCGCGCTGCGCCCGGCGCTTCACAAGAACATCCCGAACGGACCTGCGGCTCGGGCCGCTCCGCGAGCGTCGCCTCCCCGTCCGCGCAGCAGGAACAGCAAACACGGACCACGCACAAACCTCCATGCAATGCATCAGTCCACTGGCAGCTCTGCCCAAACTACGCTTTTACCGGGTAATACCCCATAACGTGTCACTGCTCCTTTGCTTAAAGGCTGAAATCAATCCAAATATTGGTTTTTGAAAGTAAAGTAACTAATAGATCACACATTTACAGTAAAAATAGCATTTTCTATGGGACTCCTGCTAGATTGTCATCCTTTTTCCTATACAAAACCCTAGGGCCCAGAAATAAATTAGAGCAAATTGAAAATCACAAACGAATTGCTACTGTGCAGTGAAAGGTTCATTTACGAGATGATGTGATCAGCTTTTAATATGCAGCATCATGAAGCTGCCATATTGCCTGCACTCTTGAATATGAAAAAAAAATCAAGAGAAAATGAAGCAGAGACTAGTTTGGCACTTTTTCTTAGAGCGTCTGCCACTAGTAACAAAGCTACAGAGCTCTGGGTAACAGCAATTACACTTAAACCTGGAGAAAACAATGAACTTGTGCCCCAAAATGCCCAAGGATGGTGCAGCAGGGTCCCCAGCCCCTGATAAGCAACTCTGCCTCGTGCAACCTCTCCCTGGCTTTCGGGGCACAGCAGGGACCAGGGGACCCGCCGAGCATCACGCAGGGACCCAAGTATCACATCGCTGCCCCGCTCGCCGCTTGGCGGGAGGGGGTTGAACCGCGAGCCGCCCCCCCTCCGCCTGTCACATCAGTTTTAATTAATGCCAATAAAGCTTCCATCTGGTACCAAGGCCTCTCCATTCAGCCCTTCTCAAGCACTGCGCAAGGACTGCGCGGGCAGCACACGTGAAGCTATTTATACCTTCTGCTCAGGTTCCCTGCTGGCATGATCAAATTCTGATTTCTGTTTTCCCTGGGTGGCCAGGATATTAGACAGAACTTACCAGGAAAGCAACACATTTATGAAAAAGCAAACAAATCAGGCAGATTTTGATAATTAAGCTAAGTCTGTCTTTTAGGCTGTATTTGGTGGATTTAAGGAAAATTGTATTAAATTGTGTATTTTTATGTAGTTTCTCATTGGGACCTCTTATAGGATGAGAATAGAAAATTAAGTATTTTAATTGATTTTTTTTCTTTTTTTTCTTTCTCCACCTCTGCAGAGCGAGCCACTTGCAGGGCACCACTCAACATGAGTGCCGGAAAATGAAAACCAAAGAATAGCAGTGGCTCCAGGAGGAGAGAGGAAGCCCTTGGCCTGACGCTGGTCTCGCGCGCCATCCCTGGATCCTTACAACATGCTTCAGTGGCGGCGGCGCCTCTGCTGCTTTGCGAAGATGACCTGGAATACCAAAAGGTCTCTCTTCCGCACCCACCTCATCGGCCTGTTCTCCCTGGTGTGTCTTTTCGCAATGTTTCTGTTTTTCAACCACAACGAGTGGCTGCCGGGCAGGGTGGCCTTCAAGGAGAGCGCCGTGGCTTACACCGTGCGCGGCTTCCGCGCCGTGCGCGGCGAGGCCAACCTCAGCGCGCCGCGCGGCGCCGGGAAGGCCCCCCTGCCGCAGACACTCCGGCCTCAGGCCCTCGCCAACAGCAACGACACCGAGCTGTCGCCCCAGGGAGTTACCGGCTTGGAAAACACGCTCAGCGCCAACGGGAGCGTTTACAATGAGAAAGGCACCGGGCATCCAACCCTGTACCATTTTAAGTACATCATCAACGAGCCTGAGAAGTGCCAGGAAAAGACCCCTTTCCTGATCCTGCTCATAGCGGCGGAGCCAGGCCAGGCGGAAGCCAGGCAGGCGATCCGCCAAACGTGGGGCAACGAGAGCCTCACGCCCGGCGTCCACATCGTCCGCGTGTTCCTGCTGGGCTTAAGCGCCAAGGGCAACGGCTACGTGCAGCGCGCCATCCTGGAGGAGAGCAGGCAACACCACGACATCATCCAGCAAGAGTACTTAGACACTTATTACAATTTAACTATTAAAACACTGATGGGAATGAACTGGGTTGCGTCGTACTGTCCACACGCTCCCTATGTTATGAAAACGGACAGCGATATGTTTGTCAACACGGAGTATTTGATACACAAGCTTCTGAAACCAGAACTTCCTCCGAGGCACAAGTATTTCACGGGTTATTTAATGCGCGGTTATGCACCCAACAGGAACAAGGACAGCAAGTGGTACATGCCACCCGATTTGTACCCAAGCGAACGTTACCCTGTGTTCTGCTCTGGAACCGGTTATGTTTTTTCGGGAGATTTAGCAGAGAAGATCTTTAAAGTCTCCTTAAGCATCAGACGTTTACATTTAGAGGATGTGTATGTGGGGATCTGCCTTGCAAAGCTGAGAATCGACCCTATGCCTCCACCCAACGAGTTTGTCTTCAACCACTGGCGAGTTTCTTACTCCAGCTGTAAATACAGCCACCTCATTACCTCCCACCAGTTCCAGCCCAGCGAACTCATCAAGTACTGGAACCACCTCCAGCAGAACAAGCACAACGCCTGCGCCAACGCGGCCAAGGACAAGGCAGGCAGGTACCGCCACCGCAAGCTGCACTAGGAGCGGGACGTCCCGCGCGCGGGCTGTAAATAGCGCTCAACGCATGTACAGGGAGCACGGAGCAGCTCAGCGGGACAGCCTTGAGGTGATCCCCGGCGCATAACGAGTCCGAAAATTATTTTTTTAATTTTAAAAGTATAGTTCTTGAAAACACTAACAATTATGAACCTATGACCAAAAGGTTTATCCAGCAAATTCAAGGAAAAAAAGAAGAAAAAAAAAAGATGATGGCATACAAGGATTTTTGTGTTAATGTGCAATAGTAAGCATGCACACTTTGGTGGTACAATTGCTGATTTATGTGCCAATAAAATATAATTGAGCATATTTTCCACACTAAAATTTTATTTTTAAACAATGCATTAATTGCTCTAGCTGTTCTCAGTCTAATAGTTTCATTTTATGATCTAAAACTGCCACAAGAAAAATGAAAAATGACAAATTAAGGAAATGCACAAAGAGCAGATCAGTTTTATGTTTAAATCCCACATTAAAATTATTGTGTACTTCATCAGTGTACACCACTTCTGCTAATGTCACATCTACAATTTAGTAAGACACTACCAATGAAGTTTGAAATACTGAGACTGTGCCCCTGTATACAGTTGGGTCAGTTTTAGAAAAGCTGCTTATTTTGGTTAGGAAATAGGGCTAAATGACATCAAATTTCAGAAGGCGCCCGCTTTTAAACTGCGGCTGGTATTCAACTAGATTCAACTAGATTCCCTTTAAAGAGGGGACTAAAGATTACTTAGCTCTCAACAAGTCATGGGACAAGTTTCTGAATTCTGGAGCCAGGTAACACATTCATCTTGGCATCTTCATGAAAATCCACAGAAGTTGCTATTAAATTCCTGAATAATTTCTTTAAGGTAGCTCAAAGGCAGATCAGAAATGCAAAATAAGCTTCAAGTCTTTTGACAGCATCTCGGAAATGTCCCATTTTGCAGAACGGCTGTGTATAGGGGGAAACAAACAATCTGTCATCTTGCCCTTTCTCTCTCCCTCTTCCTCCCCCTCTCCTTTCCCTGCCCCCCAAAGAAAAAAAGAGGCATCAGTCAAGTTAAAACAGGCCTAACAAAATTTAGCTCAACATCATCTTTTATGGATGGGGGAGGACTAGGTCACAAGACTGACACTTCCAGATAGCAATATGGTAGAAAATAAAATTGGGGCAGTTTTAAAAGATGAAACCACACGTACCACTGGAAATAGAGATGCAAGAAGTAGGTTAAATCTGTTTACAGGTTTCCGGATTTCTAACAAATAGAACTTTTTAAAGCTTATTTCCAACAAAGTTGCTGCAGAACTGTATCAGATTCAGGTTATTAGTGTTTTTCACAGTGCCTGGCTAGCAATGCCCACCTCTGATTCAGCAGCAAATCAAGCAACTGTGATTAGGTTTCTGTTGACTGAAATTTTTTAATTGGGTAAAAAAAAATTATTTGATGTACTTCTATGATTTAATAAAACTGATTATATTTATGGTCCTTCAGACTTCACTTCTTATGGGAAGGCTGCTCAGGAAGAAATAAACGGCTATGTTTACCATTGCCTCACTTTTCTAGTTTGCCTCCCAACTCTTACAACTTATTTTTCATACTATGCACACAATGGAGATCACAGCATTTTTGTAGTTTATCTTTTCTTTGTAATACAAAGACAGATCATATTTACCAAGCGCTCTTAACAGCTCCAAAGCCCTTTGCACCCAGGAGCTCATACATCTGAGTAGACTGTTTCACACTGGACTATACCTCTTAAAAGATATTAGGAGCTCTTATTGAAGATGGGTACGGGAACTTGCTCGCAGTCCTTTTTTGGTGATCCTGCACTACTCCATTTTGTCACATGCTGTATTTTAGGTATAATATGTCTGTGCATTTCCATATACCTCAACTAGTATAAATGTCGGTTTCTCAGAAAAGTAAACATGTGCAAAAATCTCTGCAGGAAAAGGGCATTGTCAAATGAGATTAGAACATTTGTTTTGTTTTGGCAGCGACTACTGGCATTTGTGCAACATAGATACAAGCTGCAGTAGAAGACCTGGGAGGGTCTTTTCAAAATCCATTTCTAATTCTCCTCACACTCAAATCTGACCTTTTCCAACCAAGTGACACAGGCTGCCATTGATATCCCAAGATGAAAGCTACCTGGCTTAAGCTGACAGTATGCAAGCTTAAAAAAAGCAGTGCAGTTCTCAAACAAGTGGAAAGAGTATTAAAAGCCAGTTACTATTATTATTATTATTGGGCACTTGGCTGTGGGAGATGCACAAACACAGCAGTTGCCTTCCCTGCAGTGAAGGTGACCGAGAAGCCGGCCTGTCCCCTTGGAGAGGTGGCGAGCTCCATTCTCTGCCCTCAGCACCTTGGCACTGCAATGCCATGCATTCCGCTTGCATTTCCTCAACTTGGGCTAGTTCAAAATGCTGCTGCTGGGTAAAGTCCAAGAGCCTAATAAGTAAACCTTAAATGTTTGGCATTTGAATTATAAAGTTTGGCAGCCAAACAACCTCTAGGGTACTCCACTTTGGAGTGAATCTGTGCGAGTTTGGCAGAATTCTCCTGCATGCAAATTTAGTACACCAAACTTCTTGCTGGTTAACATACTAGCAAAGAGCGCAAGATGCAATCAATACAAAAAGCCATTTTTAATGCCTTTTAAGAGTCCACCATATTTCCTCAAGATCCGTGTTCATGCCTGGGCATAACCTGAAACCGCTCTACAAATATTTTTGAAACATTACCAAGATAGCCAATGGCTTTTTTTTTTTTTTTTTTTTTTTTTTTTTTTCTGGGACCTTTTTTTTTTTTTTTTTTTGCATCCTGGCACTCTCTTCTTGCACAATCCATTACAAAAATTTCAGAGGCAGGAGAGAGAGCTCATATGATGAAATATGCAGTTTAGAGAATGAAAGATTGGCTTTCCATTCTTTCGATGTATTTACTGTTTTCTAGCTTGTGTTTAAACTACTTGTTTACTCTAGTAGAGCCTAAAAATAGTTCATGTTAAAAATGGTGCAATAATTATGTTGTTAAAGTCTTGGACAAGTTTTCTCACCTCCTTTCTGCATTGATCAAGACAAAAGAAATCATTTTCGATAGAAACAGGATAAAAGTTTGTGTCTAAAAGTCTAATGTGTGCAATGCAATAAGAAATTCAGTTATAACCACTTTACTGATTGAGGTACAGAGTTTTGTGTAATATGAACTTAAAATGTTTTTACTTCTTTGTACTTTTGCTTTATATTGAAAACAAATACAGAAAGTTATAATATGACTGAAAACTTATCATCATTACCATCATCATGGCAAAGAAACATCTCAAAAATTAAACAGGGTAACCAGGTGAAGAGACCTAAATTCTTCCCAGTTAGTGTAACTTCCAACAGAAAGATTTACACACTAAAGCAAAATGACCAAAATAAAGCCTCACGAAAAAGTGATCAGTTGCCAAAAACTGTTCTCACCACTAGGTAACTCAGCGAGTCGGGTTGTTTGCCATGCACACTGAGTTGACTTGATGCAAAAATTACAGTTACAAGTTCTGGAGCAAGAAGACTGGTCCTATTCCCCACAACCATGTCCTGTTTCTCTTGGCAAAAGCTCATGACCAACTCTAGTCTGAAAAATAGGGTTAAGGACACTTCCCAGACCCAGAAGTTTCTCTGAGGAGAAACTTAATGTCCCGTAAGATCTTTACAGAAAGGTTATTTTTCTCTCCTAGAGTAAGCTCAAAATTATATGAAGGCAGTTATCTAAAAGAGATCAGACAGACCAGCTTTCAGGCAGAGCCAAGCAGAATACTAATTTAAAACTTGCCTTTTTTTTTTCCCCTCCCATTTGCCATGCAATGAAATAGCAACCTGCAAGGCTGTATTTACAAAATACAGTCAGAATAAAAGCTCACGCTAAGGGTTATATTAGCTGTCTTGAAATCCTTACCAGCTCATGCATTTGGGTGGATCGGGGTGGGAAAGGGGAGCTAAAAGCCAATACTTAGGCCATGACTCTGGAGGATTCACCCTCACCTCACCAGTTTTTCTTGACATATTGAAATCAACTCCAGTCATTCTTTTATCTAAAATACCGCCAGAACCCAACAGTGCAATAAAGTCTTAGCTCTCGTGTGAATACTTAGAGCAATGTGTGAAAACTTTCTATAGGAGGAGATGAAAGGAAGAGAGTGAAGATGCTAATAGAAAGTAACTACTACTTACATTTGTGCTAAGAGCAAGAATGAGCTCTGCACCAAATTTGCGAAAAAGCACCAAGAGATGTTTAGCTATTTTTCCTTTTTTTGAAAAAAATATTACTTATGAATCTCATAATATCCAATAAGAAAATACTATACAAGCACTTCCCTAAAGCACAGCATATGTAGATAGCACCTTTTTAGGGGATGTTCCTCCCCTTTTAATCTCAGGCCCTGCGCAGCTGGGCACAATTTGGGCAGCACCTGCTCTGTGACCCTGGGCAGCTGGGCTGGGCCCAGGGCAACAGCACCAGGAAGACACAGGTCAGCGAGGAGAGCGTGAGCATCTGCGCTTCACACCCAAGGCAAGGAGCTGGCAAAGGCTTCCGGGGCACCAGGCGGCAGGAGGGCCGCCCAGAACAACCACTTGTACCGGGGCAGCAGGGCAAAACACTCTAGAATGTGGAAAAAGGGAAAAGCACAGCTGCCAGGTACCTGAAGTGAAGCAGCCGGTTAACACCACACGGATTAAAACATACAGGGCAGGCTCAGTTTTGAAGGAAAGCATTAAGAGCAAGGACAGAACAGAAAGCGACATCTGAATTTCTAGAGGGAAATGTTTATACTTCTCCCTTTCCAGAGAAAAAGATGCCCGAGGTAGATGCAGCTCTGCAATGAAATAGCAAGGTCAGAATTGCAGGGCATGCTTTTTATTACGGCCTGAATGGAAGTAATTACAAGAAATAGCATGGAGCCATAAACGGCAGGTCAGTAGCTCCACGGATAACATTTTACATATA